TTCTGGACTGCTTGGTTGACAGCTGAAAGCTCATGTCGGAAAGACACCTGGGCCAGGACTGGTGGCTCACACCTGTAATCCCAGCTACTGATGAGGCAAAGATCAGGAAGATCTCAGTTCAAAGCCAGCCCATGCAAATAGTTTGTGAGACCCTATCTGGAAAAAAACCATCACAAAAAAGGGCTGGTGGAGTGGCTCAAGGTGTAGGTCCTGAGTTCAAATCTTAGTATCACAAAAACAAAAAACAAATAAGCAAACAAAACCCACTTCTGGACACATGGTAGGTGCTTCAAAAATAAATGAATGTGGAGTAAGTGGAGTGAGTGGTAGGCCTTATGAACCCCAAGAACTACTGGGACACTCCATGCTTTTGGGATTCCCCATCACTTCTGCAAAATGAAATACTCACTTGTGCTTTGTGAGAAGGGCAGGCGTGTTCTCTCTGCCAGCGAGATAATGGTGAGCATCAGTGGAAGAAGCTGTGGGAAAAGACGGGTTTCACGTTAGGGTCAAAGTGCAGATTCCAGTGCTTGCCCTGGTCCCAGAGAGTGTCTTCCCGCGGTCAGGAGGGGGCTCTGCAAGAGAGGGACAGGGTCCACCAGGAATCATCACCCTGGTGACTCCAGGCACCACTGCCCTCGGGTCACTCCCTCTACTGGCAGCCTTGGTGGACAGACAGGGTCATCCCCACCCAGGTGGCTGGGCCAAGAGGGTAAGAAGAGGAGGAGGAAGAGTGGGATGGGGGCGTCTGTGTCAAGATGGGACTGAACCCCTGGGTTTAGCAACAGAGCCCCCCTCATGGAACCCCACTCAGTTTCCCCTGTAAGTTTTCGTCCTAAAAGGTGCAAACTCTGCAGTTCCCCCATGTCATCCCGGTCATCCTGATCAGGAGGAGCGACGTCCAAAGGGCCCAGAGAACGTGTTCCTTGTGGACAGTTTGGTGGCTCCACTTGGGGATTCTGCTGCCACCCATGGAAGGCACAGTCCTAGACCCATGCTGTCACTCCCAGGGACCTTCCAACTGTGACAGGCGTCCACCAGTGACCTTAGAAGTCGCAGCCTTCAGCTCTTGTCCTCGTCTCTGATCTCGTGCTTCTCCATCAGCATCTTTCTTCCAGGTGGCGTCTGTGTCATTGTAGATTTGAAGGTCCTCACGGGGGCTTTGTCAAATGACCCACACGGAAGCGGGTGTCGAGACGTGATAAGGTGGCTGTGTCGTCAGCCTGAAGACAGGTGAAGGGCCAGGCTTGGCCCTGTGTCCTACTCCACGCTTGTAGAAGTGACAGAATGCAGACGGGGAGCACACCTCAGATTCGGGGGACAGCGATGCTTTCAAAACCGTCCTGACAGGCTGGAGCCATGAGCCAGATTGAAAGAGGACGTGAGCAGCAGGAAGCTGGGCAGGCCTGGCGGACCAGGGCACGTGGGAAAGACCCGGCAGTCACTGACCATGGTCCTGTGGGTGGCCCTGTGGTGCTGGCCGTGCTCACGCTGTGGAGAGAGGCATGAGAGACCCCATCTGCAGGGCTCAGACCTGTTCTGAAGTGATCCAAGTGGCTCGCTGAGTGTCAGTGGGAGTCAGGTTGTGTTTGTTTTAAGTGGTCAGGCACCTGGGGTTCCCCCCTCCATTATAGAAATCCATTCCATCTCCTCCTGCCTCACTCTGACTTCTCATTATGCCGTCCTGACAGAAAAAACAAACAAACAAACAAACTAACTAGAAAGAAGTGCCTTTTCCTACTCTCAACTTTCCACTCAACACTGGGACAGAAAAGGCATAGGGTCCCCCGTGTCCCCGCCATGTCAGCCAGCTTTCCAGTGAACACCAGCTGGTGCCCTTTACTCTATTCTGCAGGTAGCACCAGATGCCACAGGTTAAGGCTGTGTTCCCGAGATCACCCCACTTCAGAGCCAACCATGTCATAGGCTGTCACCTGTGCTTCTGGCCCACCGGCTGTGAGTCCAGCATCAACCACCCCTCCTTGGCTCTGATCAGCTCAGAGAACGCGGGAAACACTCGCCTCAGGTTCACTGGTTTATTCATAAGGAATGCAGATGGACAGACAGATGAAGAGAAGCAGGGCGAGGTCTGGAAAGGTCTTTTGTGCAGGAACCTGGGTTCACCTCCTCCTGCCCATCAGATGTGCTCACCACCCTGGACCAGGCTCCCGAACCCAGTCCTTGTGAGTTTTTACGTAGGCTTCGTTTCGTAGGAATGGTTGACAACGCCGTTGCCCAATGGTATCAGCCTCACCCTCGCTCCTTTCCTTTCCTGGATGTGAAGGTGAGACTGAAAGTTCAAACCCTCTAACCACGCACTTGACCCTAAGTAGCCCCCATCCCAAGGCTATCCAAAAGACCTCCAGGAGTTACCATATTACAACAAAAGACACTCCTGTCACCCAGAAAATTCTGTAACACCCCTATTTATAAGAGTTCTAAGAGCTCGGTGTCAGGAACTGTGGTCAGAGACCAAATATACATTTATTCATCACATTTTTACAACCAAACCCAATCTTTTTTTTTTTTTATTATTCATATGTGCATACAAGGCTTGGGTCATTTCTCCCCCCTGCCCCCACCCCCTCCCTTACCACCCACTCCGCCCCCTCCCTCTCCCGCTCCCCCCCCTCAATACCCAGCAGAAACTATTTTGCCCTTATTTCTAATTTTCCAAACCCAATCTTGATAGTCATTCTTGATCTTTTAAAGAGTGTGGACTGAGGTGCAGAACTCTGAAACCTTCTCGAGGAAGCATTGCATATGCACTTCCTCCAAAGTCAAGGCCTTCAGCTGGGGCGGGGAAGATACAGCTGGATCCCCAAGTCTCAGCTTCACAGTCCCTGGAGCTCATCTGGATTCCTCCTGGCCTGTCCCTGGTGACTCACAGCTGTGGACAGTGGCCGTGGAGATGACACATCTTGGCAGCTTCTCTGCCGGCCCTGGCTCTGGGCCCTGGGAAGATCGCACACTTCCTATCTGGCCCCGGCCCCTGCCTTCCCTCCAACTCTTGCTACTTAAGGGCACTGACCTCTTTGGTCACCCCATTCTGTGAAAAGCCACACGCCACTGAGTCTGACGAGGAGGAAGTCACCCTTGCTGGGTGGAAATATCGAAAGCACACTAGTCCAATGAGTCTTGCTTTCTGCAGCCATGAGTGGACTGAGCTTTCTCCTTCAGGACACCCCAGTTTTCCCAAGAATCTTATCACAGAGGGAGGGAGGGATGGCAGTGGAATGGAGATGAGGTTTCCCTAGCAGCTGGGGTTTGTGCAAAACCCCGGTCAAAGGACCTGACGTACTGTGTGAAGTGGTTTTAATGACATTCACCCAGAGGGTCATGGGAACAAAACAGGATGCTTTTCACAAGCCCTAGTTCACGGTCGAGACTTAGGAACTTGTGTCTTCGTTCCCAGCTTTCTCTTCAAAGGACCTTGGCCAAGTCTGTCGCGTCTGACTCTGGGGTGGGGTGCAGGAGGACCTCCTGCCTCGGCGGGGGGGGGCGGTGTGCGCTGTCCCTAAAGTCCCTTCTGACCCTGTAGTTTTGTGCTTCAGACATTTGAACTTCCCAGGTCCCTCTCTGCTCCCATGCTAGGATTCCACTGAGTACCTGTGTGGGTGTTGTGGGGACAATGACAGAGGAGGTGCTGTTGGCCTGAGCTGGAGGGCAATGGACCGCTTCAGATGAGTCTGGTATCTAGCAATGGACAGACCCTGTGGCTCTGGGGACAGTGAGTTTCTAGTCACTGGAGGTATTCAAGCATCTGGAGGGATTGCTGAGGAACAGGCAAGATTCTGTGGCCAGGAAGGTCTGGTGCTGGCTGTCAGCATTGTGGAATGTCACAGTCTGTCTCTTCAAAATGTCAGACACCTGGGGTGGCACTCGGTGGGTGACCTTGTTGCACCTTTGCTACCGCAGAAGGTAGAGAGTTGGGTAGTGCCTGGGCTGCAGAATTGACTCCCGAATGATGGAAAACGGATTACAAGGCTGGCAGAGCTGCCCCTGAGCGGTAAGATTTAAGCTAATTCCTTTGCAGAAAGCAAAGCATGGTTCTGCCAAGTGAAGAGTGAGTCCAGCAGCCCTGAAGGGGATGCTGGGCTTGGGGAACAGAGGGGAGGGCGTCGTGGCTGGAGCCCAGCTCTCCATACCCAACGATGCCTCCTTATTGTAGCGTTACGTTGTTATCGAGAATGTCACTGTACATACGTTACACGTCAGGGTATCGTGTTGGTCCGTGGAGGTGGGTGACATGGCAGGAGCGTGACCACTGGGCCATCATGACCAAGGCATGTCCCCTGGCTCCCCTTAGATCCCAACAATTAGGGCTCCTGTCGATGACTTGGATGCAAATCTGTGCACTTCCCATGAACCAAATGGAGTCTTTCTGCAAACTCAGGTTTATTTAATCCTGGATTTTTATAAAAACATAGTGCGATGGGAGAAAAAGGTACAAAGGAAGTACATTGAGACAACTAAAAGTGGTCATTACAGATTGAAGGGGCTATGGATGATTTTTGTTATCTTTTGTGTGTGTCTGTGTTCTCTAAAATTTCTATAATAAGCATGCAATTCTGATGTGGTATGGAAAAATAATTTGTTTCCCAATTGTTCAGAAAAAGGAAAAAGGAGGGAAGGAAGGAAGGAAAATTCTAAAAGCAGTGGATTCACAGGCACAAAACTTCAGCACTTAACTGTTCTGAGGTGGCATTGGTGGAAGGTGGGGAGCGGAGGTTGCCGGGGAGAAAGCTGGGTGTCAGGGAAAAATGGCACATATGCTAATTCGAGATGGAACAATGTGACACCCTGACTGACAGAGGAGTGCTGCAGCACAGATGGATGCTATTGCTATGCTACCACCAAGAGAGGACAGTCCTCTTTCCTCTTGGTGAGCCTGCAGTGAGTAGATTCTTCTGGAATGTCCTTGGGACTTTGCCTCTCTGGGGATGGGGTCAGGGTCCTTCTTGGAGCCTTATTTGTGACTGCGTGACCTTGCCTTACAGGCTACAGCAGAGAAGTCTCCTGGAGCCTACTTCCTTCCCGAGTTTGCGCTGTCCCCGCAGGGAAGCTTCCTGGAGGACACGACAGGGGAGCAATTCCTCACGTATCGCTATGATGACCAGGTGAGCGCTGTGAAGGCTAACCAGAGCAGAAGCACGCGTGGCTGAGATCCGGAAGCCAGGTGCCCGGAGATGTGATTCCCTTGCATTCTCAATTCACATATATAATTTAAGATTGGACTCATCTTTGAAACCAAGAATGTCAGCTTTCTGCAGAGGTTCCTAGCTGAAAGCCTGAGTTCCTGGGCAGTGGGACAAACCTGGGTGGGATTGAAGCCCGTGTGGGACGTTAGTGGACTTGGCAGAAGTGAAGAGGAGGGGCTGGACTTGATTACCTTGTCATAGCACAGAGGGAGATGGTCCAGTGACTGAGGTCAGCCATGTTGTCCTCAGCTGTGCAGTCAAAGGATGGCATATTCTGGTTCAATTTAGACCAGGCCTAGCTAGGGGGCAGAAGACATCACTGTCAAGGAGAAGCTCTGAGAAATTCAACGAGTAGAAGTGAGATGTGACTGTCGGGACGGGGACAGAGCCCTGGCAGAGAGCACAACAGGTGGTATAGGATGGAGACCAGAGCAAGGGCAGGAGGCAGATGATCGGCAGTGGTGTCACCTCTTCGTCCTGGTCCTTGAGGCTGTGGCAAACTGGCCTGCCCTTGGCAGGTTTAGCTCTGAGCTGAGGGTGGGGGAAAGGTAGGATTGTGATCCAGCAGACCCTTTGTGCTGGGAGCTACGCAGGTCATTGGGGCATGGGTGAGAGCAGACTCATTTTGGGGGGGGGTTGAACTCAGGACCTCACAGTTGTTAGGCAGGAGCGCTACCACACACCTCCAGCCCTTTTTATGCTGGGGCAAAAAAAAAATAGGTCTCACATTTATGCCCTGGGCGGGCCTGGTCCTTAATCCTATTTATGCTTCCTGTGTAGGTGGGATGACAGACATGAGCCACCGTGCTCACCGTGCTGGGGTTAGAACTCAGGACTCTGTATTTGCAAAGCAGGCACTCTAAAGCAGGCTTGAGCTATGCCTCAAGTCCATTTTTCTCTGGTTATTTTGGAGATGGAGGGTCTCACAAAATATTTGCCTGGGCTGGCCTCCAACTGTGAGCCTCCTGATGTCAGCCTCCCAAGTAGCTAAGATTATGAGTGTAAGCCACTGCGCCTGACCCAAACCAATTTTTTATAATAGAAATTTTCAACGTTCAATCATTTCCCTAAGTTCCTTGAAAAAAATGATAGTCATTTGGTGAGCCGATTGGGTGTAGGATAATTATCTATTGCTGTTATGGAATCCAGGCATTTGGGCTTGGTTGCTTATAAGTTACATTCTGCCTTTCCTTCCAATGGAGTTTTATATGGTCTATAATTTATGGACTCCTTTTATTCCAGAAGTCAATGTTCCAACGGATTTCATATGGGAACTTGAGGGTAACTGATTGAGAAGGCAGTAAAGGATAAAATGGAGAGTCCAGAAATAACTAGCTAGGTATTTTATAATTAAAGAATGACTAATGCCTTCTCCAGGTTCCACGGATACATTGTAAACACTGAACACAATGTATACGAGCTATATCATAATGTACATAAGTACAACACATATGAAATACATTGTATTTAATATAATAAAATAAAAGCTGGAAAAAAGAGGAAAGCCAGCCCCTTTCTTTAGTCCCTCTGAAAGGTCTAAGCCTGTGGCTTGCTGTGGAAATTTTACCCGAGGACATGTTCTAGAAAGCCCCCAGGAGTAAATAGCGCATAAAACTTTTCTGTGTTGCCCGTACCACAGTGCTTCATTTAGGGAGAGGAGTAAGTCAAGGACAAGAGGTCAGTAATAACATCCACCCTCCTCTGCTAATGGCAAAGAAGACCCACCCTGGTGCTACACTAGGTGTGTCTCCCAAGTGATCATCAAGATTTAATCACCAGTTGAACACAGTGACTCGTGCCTGTAATCCCAGCTACTCTGGGAGTGGATATCTGCAAGATTTAGGTTCAAGTCTAGCTTGAGCAAAAAAGTGAGACTCCAACTTAACCCCCCCCAAAAAAAAAAGCCAGGGTTGTGGTCCAGGTATGCTGGGCAAAACTGGAGACCCCATGTCAAAAATAACCAAAGCAAAAAAGGACAGGTGGAGTCTTCTGTGGTGGAGCAGCTGCCTAGCAAGCTCAAGGCCTTGAGTTCCAACCAAGGACTGCCAAAAAAAAAAAAAAGACTGACTCCATCCGATCACCTGGAGACTGTGGACCTGTCACCCAAGCTTAATTTTCTTTCTTCTGAATGCTGACCACACAGACTGCACTGCAAATTCCAGGAGCCTCTGAGGCACTGGGGAAGAGATAGACCCATCAGATACAGCCACACTCGAAAAGAGACTGTGTCCTGCAGCTCTTGGATGACCCATTCAGATCAGAGGCTCTGGGCACAGACCGCTTCAGGTTCAGGTTCAAGCCCCCATTCCGCCATCTTGTTTGCGGTGTGCCCAGTCGCTCTGTTCTGTGCATGTGAACTTTGTCATCTGTGAAGTGGAGATGTGGGTGGGGCCATTGTGAGGACTTACAGCGCTAATTCATTTAACTATCCCTGCACAGTACAAGCCTTTGATTTAGCTGCTGTTACCAGTGCTACTAGTTAGTGATATTAGGTATGCTTACGCTGAAGGAAAGAAGTCTAGTTTCCATTTACATCAGGGCACCCTACACAACATTTTAAACGAATTTTTAATTGAGGAATAATATTATGCATACCGCCAAATGCAGATGAAACTAAAGTGTAGAACTCGATGAACTTCTAAATATTTATGTTTTTATACCACTACCTAGCTCAAGAAATCAAGTATTTCCAGCACCCTAGGAGGCTCCTGCGTCCCTTTAATCTGTATCCCCCACCCGACAAGGTCAAATGCCTTCTGACTTCTGTCACCGCTATTGATTGCTTTTGCCTACTTTTCGTTTTTAGTTTTATATAAATGGAATTGCACAGCACGCACTTGTTCGCGTCTGGCTTCTTTCACCCATCATTGTGTCTGAGAGATTCCACGAAGTCGTTGGATCCAGCACAACATGGGGCTTAACGTCTAGCAGTCGGTTCTGCTCTTTGGAACAAATTGTCTCATTCTGGAACAAGTTTCAGTATACTGGGTGGTGTGCCACATGGCTGTGCACAGAAATTCCCAGATTGTCCCTAAAAGGTTTTCTGGGTAGTCCCTCCAAAGATTCCGTACCTGGAGAAATGGTGGGGGCTTCCTTCCAGTGTAGACTTTGTTATATTTCTGGCATTGCACAGCCAGAAATAGGTACAGGGTCTGTGTGAGTTGTCACCAGGTCAAGATTTGTGCCATCAGGTGGCTTGGGCACCTACCTGCAGAGTCTGCGTGTGTAAGCTGCCACCATAGTGACAAAGCGCTTAGGCTGCAGAGTCTGCGTGTGTAAGCTGCCACCATAGTGACAAAGCGCTTAGGCTGTTGAGACAGAATCCTGGTTGCTGAACCTGTTGGGAAGCTGTAGGTCCAGCAGGACTGTCCACCCTATGAACTCTCTTTTGATAAAAGGGGAGCAGATGGGAGGTGTGTCGATATTGTCTTTCTTGACAACTCCAAGTAGGGCTTTTAAAAAAATTTTATCCTGGACACATTTTCACCAAGGACTTTGAGTCACTTTCCACAAATCTTCTGGATTAGGTGCCTGGAAAACTAATAACCTCGAGGCCAGTAAAGCCCAGCTGTGATGTAGGCTGCCTTTAACGAGTGCGTAAAAGCCACACTGGATTATTCCGGGGCCAGAGCAGCCTGTGGTGGAGAGCAGCCCCAGGCAGCTGGTCGCAGTGCAGCTACAAGCAGGACCGGTCAGCCCGGTTCCCCTTACACCCCTGATTAAATTGTCATTTAACAAAATTATATCCTGCCTTTGGACCTCAGATCCTTTATTCTGAAAAGCAAAGGGACTGAGTTTCTCGGTCTGCACTGAGTCTACTCTAAAATGCTCTCTTTCTGAAAGCACAAATAGAATATTCCACGTTGCAGTGTTAACTGGATGATTCTGATGGCTGAGGCGCTCGCCAGCAACGCAGTGAACTATTACTTAGAGAATTAGGGAATCTTACAGCTGGTGGAGGTTTTGGCCCAAACACCTCATTTCACAAGTTAAGAAAATGGAGACTCTAAATGTACAAATGACTTGTTCAAAGACATCCAGATGGGTCTCTCAAACCCCAGGCTCCCCCAGCCCCATCCCAGAATGTGTTCAGCTGTTTCTCTCGGAAGAATTGCCTGGAAAAATCCTATTCTTTCATAAAAATCTTGATTTCTCAGTTAGGATCGAGGGAGCTTTGGGAACCTCCATAAGCAGAGGATGATTTCATATTGATGGATGGCTTTTTTGGCTCATACACAGCTCCTTCAGGCATTTGGGATTAGCTATGCAAGAGCATCTTATAAGCACATCCTTCCTCTCCAGCTTTCAGTAGGAATCACAATGTTTTCGTGGTCTGTGCAAAGCTCATTCGTTGAAATTAAAATGGCACCAACTTCCCACTGGGAAATACATCCTCAGAACGACAGCACCCCGTGACTCGGTGGCATACAAGGTCATTGGAAAGGATCGGTTTGGAACAACTGGGTCCAAAGGTTGTGGTTGAAACCGTCATTAGTCAGCCAGACTCTAGGGTAGATTGATTCTCCCGTCATTCCTCACTGTGGCTTCCCACTGGAGACCTCTCACAGGCAAATGGCTGAATGTCCATCAGCCCCGGGGAGCAGAGCCTCAGGTTCTGCGCTGTGCTCTTTCTCTCTTCACTGAGATGGTGGCTTTGTCATTCTCTGCCCAGGTCTCTTTCTGGGAAAAGAGGACGCTGAGGTCTTCCTCCATCCTTACCTTACTTCAGCTCACTGAAGGGTTACATGTGCAGCTTTGTGGTGGGTTCTCATTTCTAGTCCATGATAGACCCAGTGTTTCCTGGTGAGAGAGAAAGCTCATTTATTTTTAAAGACTTCCCTCCCTCCCTCCCTTCTTCACTCCCTCCCCCCTCCTTCCTCCCTTCCTCCCTCCCTTTCTTCCTTCTTCCCTTCCTTCCT